CGGGGGAACCTGACCTTGTCACGTTACGGGTTTCACATTAGTATAAATGGTAGTAGAAATTGGTACAGTATATAAATTTTATACAAATAAAATTTTTCATTTTAATTTAAAATTTTATGCTTATCGTTAAATTAATAAGTAAAGACTGGTTTAATGACCAGCAAAACTTTTGAAAAACATTCGAAAAAAAAACTTATAAATGTAAGATTCGGATTATAAATAATAAATCCCACACCATGTTTAATTTTTATAAAATGATCGTGATTGCTTAAGCTGGCCAAATTTATCATAAATCTGAGTTAGATTTATAATAAATTGGCTAGCTTTAGCAATCATCAATCGCAATCACGATCATTTAATATAAAAATTAATCGTGGTGTCACAAAATTTTGCAAATTGCAATAAATATGATATTATAGTATGCAAATTGAATGCTAAACGGAATGTGAAAAAAAAAGAAATAGTTAAATTGGTACTTTATATCTTAAAACCCTATAAAAATAAATATATATAGTGAATTATCCATTCAACGCTTAATTATACCGCAACAAACTTCTTTCTCCACCAATACATAAAACCCATCTCTCAAACCATTTAATCCAACTCGCATCTAACAACCCCAGTAGTAAAAGGGGATCCAAGAAACAACACCTTCCTATCGCTATCACCAGCAGCCACAGAAATTGCATGAAACAAAGTGCCATCATCTTCAAATATTTTTTCCTTTGCGTATTTAATTCCATAAAACCTATCTTCTCCAGTGTTATTGCTAACTTTAAATACACTAAATGAAGGTTTTTTAGCATTTATTGGATCACTCATATATGTAAGAAGTTCTAATATGTTTCGTATCACTATTTAGAAATTTATGATATTTCAAAAGGATTAGTTCGAATATATCACTAACAAAATTCACAATAACATTACCTGCAAGATAAATTTCTCCAGTCACAGGATCCACATTAATGTTATCAATAGGATGCTCAATATTAATACCGTCTAGCAACTTCAGTTTGTTATCAGGTTTTCTTTCATATATTAAAAGTTCACCAGTACCAAC